CCGCTATAAAGTTCGATTTCTTGCCAAGCAACCCATCAAGCTCCTTAAAATTAAGTTGAAACTCTAATTTGTGTAAACACATTTAATAATAAAAAAAATTGAAATAAAAAGCATTTATGGTTTTAGAGAAATCTCAATTTAAAGTTGACCGGATTTTTCCGTGTCCACCCGATATAACTTATTATAGCTTTTTAAACTTAATTAAGGTAATTAATCTATTAAATAATAACAAAAAATACAACAAAAATGTTGAAATTCGTATAATTTCCTTTACATAAATTTTTTCATTTAATTTTTCTTAGACCTATGATGCCAACTTACGATGGAACTTCGCCAAATATTAATAAGATGAACAATTGTGGAACACAGTTTTATTTACTGACGAGAGTAAATTTAATATTTTCGGACCTGATAGGCGTGGAAAAATATTGAGAAAAATAATGCATAACTAGAAAAAAAAGATTTAATTCCGATGATGAAACATGGAAGTGGAAGTGTGATGGTCTGGGGATCGATGGGTGCAGCTGTAGTGGGGACTTCGGTATTTATTTCCGCTGGATGTATATTTAGCGTTATAAAATATAATTCGAAATCGCATGATTACAAAATTAAAGTTGTGAAATAATTAGATATTTCCACTAGATTATGATTCGAAACACACTGCTCATGTTGTAAAATCATGGTTTCTCTACAATGTTCCAAAACAACTGCATCCCCAATCACCAGACTTTAACTCAATAGAGCACGTGTGAAATTATTTTGAAAGACAAGTCAGGAAACAGAATAACAAATGTTAATATGCTTAAAAATATCTCACTAGAATCATGGAATAAAATACCGTCTTCTTATACCAAAAAAATATTGTCATCGATGAACAGAAGAATAAAAGAAAAAACTTGTCTAAATGCCAAAGGATATTCAACAAAATACTAAAGATTTTTTTATTTTTCATATTCTTGTGTTTTTTATGATTCTTGTTTAGTGTAACTTTTAAGTGAACTTATAAAACTTTTTTGACATAAAAATTCAATAATTAAACTTTTTTAGTTTTACAAATAAATATATTTTCTTAGTTAATTATTATTATTTTTTATTTCTTGTACGATATATTCTTGTTACTTTAATAAAAAAATATTTTTTTGCTCTTAAAATGGTTTTTAAAGTGATTCTTCTTAAGTCATTCCTCTAAATTGTACTCTAAAGCGTACGAAGGCTTTTGTGACTGACTGTATTTATTTATACAGAGCCGGCGCGAGTTGATGTCTAAAAGGGTCAGACTCGCCGACTAAATGAGCGAAAAATACCTTAATGAGAGGGGATGTCACACTCCTCACCCCCTTCGCGCCGGCCTTTTGACTCCTACTTAACCTAAAATTTGAGCAAGACTTCAAAGATCTATTAAGTAAATTTAAATTGAGAGTGAGTCTTTAAAAATAGAAGTCTACCAGAAGTGTATCCAGCCAGATTTGTATATTATCCGGTCTCCTGTATTCTTCCGAATAATAAAATAATTGGATATCTCATGTTGATAAATAATAATAAAAAAAGTTATTAGTAAAAATATTTAAAGTAAAAATAATTAAATTAAAAATTTATTTTAAGCCGCAGTCTTAAAGATACACAGTTTAGACTTGATACAACCATTTCGTAATTAACGGAATGAGAGAACCTAGAACGCAAATTCTAAAGTGTTAATCTTTTAAAACAATCTAATGTTACTAGATTCGAAGAAATTGTGTTCAAGTTATATAATTCAAATAAATAAGAATTAACGATGCACAAGAATTATATGTTTTATCACTTATAAGTTTATTTACATTTAAATTTTCTTCGCTCAAGAAATACAGATTTCATCACTCATTTATGAACTTATTTGCATTACTATGTATAAACTGTTATGAATGTATTTGCATTACTTTGTATAAACTGTATTATCTCAACGCGTTTCTCCGCGTTAAGGTAACAGAATTGGTCGCTTTTTCTTATAAATGTTTCTTTATTCAGACAACATTCTCTCTAAAAATGCAGATGATGTAAAAAATGTTTTATGCATTTGTTGTGACTTTATATCATTAATACCCTATATCATGTACGTTAAACAAATTCTTTAATAGAAATTCACATTAGATATGGAATAAAAAATCAACGACATAACTTCGGTCTATCGAAGTTATATGCCGCACGCCGAAATTGTCTATAGACATTTGCTCTCTCATTTTCTTTACGATTCACATTTTCTTTACAATCGACATGCTACTTATCGAATAATCACGTAGAGTTAAAAAGTAATTTTATTTCCTTTTAATACAATTAAAAATGATTTTTTTTTACGTGATCGAGCAGTGGAGTTGTAAGAAACAATTTTTGACCAGAATTATTAGATTCTCTTGCTTATTTTAATTTTACATAGAATAAAAGTTGTTGTCTATTCAGAATAGCTGCTGAATAAATCTGCACGATCCAAATAATCATTTATTAATAAAAATTTAAATAAAATATTTATGCTAACGTAGTAAAGATTTGCGACAGCATAATTAAGTGTCGATATTTGGATCGAATTATCAGGTCATTTTGAAACATTTCGTTAGGTTGAATACGCTGCTTTTATTTGTTGTGATAAAACTCAAAATTTTTCAAAAATGTTACCTACTTTGGAAATTCATTTGTGTACTTTTTAGTGTTGCAAGAGCCACAATTTTCTTGAAATTTCTTATCAATTAATTATGTAATAGTTAACAGAATTTGAAAAACAAAAAAAAAAACAAAAAACAATGTTAGCTTTGGGGACGCTGTTTTCTATAAAACAGCTAGCTAACAATATCCAAGCAAACATTTGGTCTTAAAAAGACATTTTAATGTCTTTTAAACGAATTAAACGTTTTTTAATACGTATTAAAGACGTCTATTTTAGACCGAATGTTTGCTGGGACAATACAAAACAATATAATCAGTGTATGTTTCCGTTTTTAATACAAAGTTAGTGGACAAATTATAAGAGAAATCGTTAAAGCAGTTTTTTATGCAGTTAATACAAAATTTCTTATTTTTAAACAAAAAAATTTTTTTTTATAGTTTTAAAAGTATTTTTCAAAGAAAAAATAAAATATAAGCCTAGCCAAAACAAAAAGCAAATCATACATAAGGTACTAGTACTGTCGTTTTTTTAAATTATAGTTTTTTCGTGACACAATTCATATCACACATATCGTAATATAAATTATACATAAATAAAAATACACTCCAATAAAAAAAAAAATTTATAAAAAGTTCTTTATAACGTTCAATATCACATTTTAGTGTCTTCATAAGCATTGATTCTTTTGTTTTCTAAAAATATATTTAATTAGAGTACGATATGAAAAACTCTAGGTTGGAAGAACAACTGCGAAACATGAAACAATTATTAAAATAAAACTTTTTGTTCAAGGTAATTGGTATACTAATCAGGCTAAAACTACCATGGCTTACCAAGTCCGAAAAGTTTAAGCATTTTTGAGACAAGTTGAGATATGCACTATTTTTTTTTTATTTGCTTCAAATAACATGTTTAAAACAGTACCTTTATCTCTCGACATCCACAATGCCATCAAAAGAATTTTATCTAAAAAAAATAAAGATACGAAGAAAAGCAAGCATAAAATGTTCCTTAACCCACATTATAAGGTCCCAGAGTATCCGTCTGGAAGGTATTTGTTTTAAAGCACATGAACCACGTCAAGGTTCCTTCCTACTCACATGTACGATTTTTGATGCAGAACGATTGAAAGTATATGACAGAAAATACACAATCAATTAGCAAACTGCCTTTTCTTGCACATTTTCATTTTTTTGAAATAACAAAAAGTTCTACATTAAAAAGAAAGACTACAATAAAATAATATATTTTGAAATATTAAAATCACATTTTTATAGAGTGTCGCGAATTAAAAATTGTTAAATTTTTTTTTTGAAAAATATAGCTTTTTGGGATCTGCCTCATGATTAGACTGCTCTTTCCTTGTTCAACTATTATTAAGAAACAAAAAGAATCACTTTCTAAGGTTTAAGAATCTAGTTATGAATTTAGTCAATCTTTAATTATGTCTTTTCTTATACACCTTAGAGCTAACAATGTTTATAGCTTAAACAAAACTTAGTTATCACAATAAGTGTTAAAAATCCTCTATCTTACATCTTTTCTGATTCTGCTACTGACCTAACATGGAATCTTATAATCTCTTATGAAATACATATATATTTAAAGCTGGAATTCTCAAAGTGTGCGTATGTATGTGGAATTCTCAAAATGTATGTATGTATATATGTATGTATGTTTGCACATATAGTGGAGTCGGAGTTGCTAAAAAATATCGCGGCTCCGACAGTAATATTTCTTGGTATGGCACGTGTATGTACAAAACATTCAATCAACCTTATGTTCATACTAAACCTCAAAGAGCGTTGCATAAATTTGTCAAAAAAAAAAAAGTCAACTTATTGTGCAATATTTTTTAAAGAATTCCAAGAATTTTTCAAAAATTTTTACTTTGAAGTTGGAGTCGAAGTTGTACTCAAAAAATTTCAACAACTGGAGTCGGAGTCGTTACTTTTTTTTTACGACTCCACAACCCTGCTATCACTTTTGCTACAACATGGGGCTAACAGTGGCTGATGAACTTTAATTCAGATAAAACTCAATTTTTTTTAGCCAATCGTTATTGCAATAATTTAGATCTTCTTTTATTTATGAACAGTAACATACTAGATGAGTACTCTTCATCTTTTAGGCTTAATGATTACGATCTTTCTTGGAAATCGTACATCAAATCCATTGCAAAATTAACATCTGGCTGCATCTCTAACATAAGGTTGCATCTCTTTATCAAGCTAGACATTTTCTTACTCCAGATTCTATTCTCTATCTCAAATCCGTCCCTGTATGGAATACTGTTATCATATCGGGGGCAGATCTTTTAATGATGCCCTTTTTTTTTTATACAAGGTACAAAAACGTATTATAAACATAATTGGATGCTCTTGCAGCCAACCTCCAACCATTGTCACATCATCATGTTGCCTCTCTTTCTCTTTTCTACAAATACTATAATGGGCACTGCTCTAAAGAGCTAGCGTACCTTGTGCCATTTACTATCATTCTTGTGTTTCAATTGTCTCATTCTTATCTCTTAAGTCTCATTCTTTTTCTGTGACTTATCTTAAGTGCTCCTAAAACTCGTATTCCTCTATTTTTTTCCTTGAACATCAGCACTTTGGAATTCACTTCCTTCATTTTCTTCTTATCCTGATTCATATAATTCACTCTTTTAAGTCATCTGTCAATCGTTATCTTGATCTACAAACTTCATCTTTTCTCTTCCAGTAACTTTTAAATGTTATAGTGGTTAAAGAGGTTGAAAAAAAAAAACAATCTCTATCTATTTATTTATATACATATTATTGAATATGCTTTAATGTATTCTTATTTTATTTATAGTGTACCACGGAGAGCACCTAAATCAGAATGTTGTATATATCCGCACTTCTTATGTTCAAAAATGCACTTTAAATAGTTAAATAATAGTTTTAATTAAAGTAGTTCATAGTTTTAAAAAGTAATTTTCTATTTCAAAAATGAAAATGTGCAAGTTGCTTATTTTGCCCCATGAATATTATTTTAGTTGCACAAAAAATCAACTTAAAATTTCAGTTGAAAAAAAATATAAATAAAAAAAATATATAAATAAAAAAAAAATTAGGTTCCTTTTTCAGCAACAAGAACTGGATTGCTAGAGTTAGTTACTTCTGTACTCCATCACATTACTTAGGAGACTTTAAATATTCATTAGAAAAACATTTTATCTAGAAGAAAAATGTAAGTTAGGGTAAACAATCTATTATATTGTTGTATTCACTAGTTACTCACTTAACTAACACTACACCAGATAATATACACAATCATATAGAACATACATATACATAAAATAACTGATGGCTGAGTTAACACTATTCCATATAATTATAGATAACACAAACAGACATAAAGTAACTTACGGGTGAGTTAACACCGCGCCAGAGGTTCAAACAGAACACAAACAGACATAAAGTAACTTACGGGTGAGTTAACACCGCGCCAGAGGTTCAAACAGAACACAAAAAGACATAAAGTAACTTACGGGTGAGTTAACACCGCGCCAGAGGTTCAAACAGAACACAAACAGACATAAAGTAACTTACGGGTGAGTTAACACCGCGCCAGAGGTTCAAACAGAACACAAACAGACATAAAGTAACTTACGGGTGAGTTAACACCGCGCCAGAGGTTCAAACAGAACACAAACAGACATAAAGTAACTTACGGGTGAGTTAACACCGCGCCAGAGGTTCAAACAGAACACAAACAGACATAAAGTAACTTACGGGTGAGTTAACACCGCGCCAGAGGTTCAAACAGAACACAAACAGACATAAAGTAACTTACGGGTGAGTTAACACCGCGCCAGAGGTTCAAACAGAACACAAACAGACATAAAGTAACTTACGGGTGAGTTAACACCGCGCCAGAGGTTCAAACAGAACACAAACAGACATTAAGTAATTTATGGATGAGTTAACTCTGTGCCATTAGTTTAAACAAAACACAAATAGACATAAAAAAAAACTTACAGGTGAGTTAACACCCCACCAAAGCTGACTGAGGTGGCTTGTGCATCCTTTAAATGTCAATACAGTAAAAAAATTTACATATAGTAACTTACAAGGAAAGTACACATTTTATAGTTACTTTTTTCATTATATTCTTCAAATATTTTCTCCAAAAATTGATTTTGAGCTGTAGATGTTAGCAGGTGGCGTTGATCTGTAATGAATTAAAAAAACTCTTATACAAACAAACCCGTATAAAGGTGTTGAGCTAACTTAAAAACACTTAGTGATACAATAGTAAGAAAACACAAATAAACACATTATCAAATGATCCCAAATCCACAATCAACTTTTTATAGGAAAATTATCGAGGCAATAATATTACCAAAAAAAAAAATCTTTTTAAAAGGAAATTTTTTTTAAAATTTTGAGTCAAATTTTTTTTATATTATAAGGCTTTTGTTTACAATAACATTACTTACAACAAAAAAACAATTTTTTTTATGTCGTGAATATTAAAAAAATAGTGAGATAATAATAAAAAGATACTGAAAAATAATCTACCTAAAAACCAGTTAAAATAAAATATTAAAAAAAACTTTATTTATTTTTTAGCAACAAAAAAATAAAAGATCGGTTGCTAAAACCAAAACTTAGCTATATGCATAACATGTGAATTGTTATAAATGAATTGCTAGTAATGAAACTAAGTGATAGAACAACTGGCTGGTATAAAAATTACCTTAAATAGTATAAAAATATATCAACTAACAAACAAATCTTTATCTTTGCGATGCTTGCCTGTGGCACTCATGACAGTTCCAGATTACATCATCCTTCTCATATGCAGTTGGTGGGATTTTTTCACACTCCCGATGAAACCATTTGCAACAAGTACTGCATTCAGCCATTTGCCTAAAAATATGCATTAAAGATTATATCATAAATTTATAACAAAAAAAGAGATTTTGATTTATAATTTTTTATAAAATAAAAAAAAAGTAAAAAAAAGATGCAGTATATATTTTAAATGTAAATGAACAATTAAAATATAAAGCGGATCTCTTATTATTGTGTTTTGTTTCTTTTTAATTAGCAATCTGTTCTGTTATTGTAAAGATATTTATAAAATAATTAAAGCCTATAACTTAATAACTTAAAAGTATATACTAGAATACAATTCAGTTTTGTCAAAAAAATATTCAACAATGTACCTGTTAAAAATGTGCTCATCTTCTAGGGTCCAAAACATTCTACATGAGCAATGTAAAAGAAGATGAAAAGTCTTTGCTAGGCATCTTTTAGATATTGAAGGATTAATGGCAGTTGGGAAGACATCTAATCGGTTGTTTAGCAAACACTTTAGAAGATGATTCCTCATTGCACTTTGTTCAAACATTAAACTAACTAATGGAATACACTTTGTTTCAAGTATCTGGCGTGCCCAGGCAATAGAATACAGACCACAATCTACACCGTTAGTTTGCTGTTGAGTTGGTAAAACCTTTATCACAAGTTTTTTTTTTTGACAATGTAAAATAGAGCATATTTGCCTTTTTGTTTCAATACTTATTGAACCATGGAAAAGGCTATCAAAAATGTATACCTCACCAGGCTTGCAATCATATGTGGTAACACAAATCCAGTGTAAATTTCCATCATGGAGGATTTGTACAAACGGAATGCTCTGATAGATATCAAAAGATAAAACTTTTCCTTTAATAGGATCCTGCAAACCAACATCAACATTTAACTGAATCGACATTAATCGTTGAAAAAAGTGAATAGTATTGTCATTAAGCATTTTCCCTTTTTCTATATCAATTCTTTCGGAATTTCCAATGAAAGAGGATTTCAGACTTTGAATGGAGTAAAGGGTGCTTTGCAGTGGGTCAAAATCATTAATTATAGTAGCTTCATGCAGCTCCTGGCAATTATTAGATATTTCTTCTTCAAGTTCAAATGACTCTGTTGAAACATCAAACATTTCACAACTATCACTAATCACATGATTTGTAACAATCTCAGAAAAGCAAGAATCATTTTGTATGTTTGATATCAAACTTATATTTGAAGCTGCTTTTTTAACATCATACTTTACACCTACTCTTCTGGTTATTTTTCTTTTCCGTTGAACTGGAATATTAACAAGATTAGGAGAATTTGTAACAGACTTTTTCCAAATGTCAGGTTTAGGGTCTGGCCGAAGAATAATGCCTTGTTCTTTTGTAAGAGATTCTGCATAGCTGGTTTTAAGTTTATAAAGTCCCTCAAACAAGTTATCTGTTGCTGTTTGAGATTTACTTAAATGAGTAAGTTTTATGATTTCGTTTAAGAGTTCACGACATGCAGCAGGTGTATGATGACTAGCCTGTATATGATTAATATTTGGTAATGTCTGACAATGTTCTGATGGTACAAACTCACTGCTGTCACTCACTACTTTGGCATTATCAAGAGGATTTTTTTTAAAAGATAAATTAACAGTTTCAGGTAAATCTTGACAATGAAATGAAGTTGAGTAATTATTTTCATTCAGCAATGGATCTAAGATGAAATATGGAGAATTGCCATAAGATGGATCAAAATCAGACCAAGAAAGATTTTCTTTACTGAAAACTGCAAAAATGTGTTTGCATGGATATATGCTACTAAACCAAGAAGGGCAGGAACAGCTTGGCAAGTGTTTTGCATCACCAAGAAAACATTGGTAAATTTCTCTACTATTTGACTGAAATGATGCAACATTGTACAATCTATCTGTAACAGCATTAATTCCCTCCAAGTCTAAACCTTGTAGCTTATCTATCATGTTCATGCAATGCTTTACTAAAGGTCGAGGGCGGTTTATTAAATATACTGGAATCTTACTATTATACTTTCTATAAGATGAGTGCGCTCTTCTGTTTTTATCAGCATAACTAAAAGAAAGTATTGCAAACCATGCTACACTAATACATAAATGAGAATACCAATCCTGAACACATATTGTGTTCAAAATAAATTAGTCTGTAAATTGTATGCATATTTTATAAAATTTAGTTGCACAGCAAATTATAAAAGCCCACTTTAACTAAAACAACTTAATTAATTTCTTGATACACATTTATTATTTATTTTTATATTATTTTTAACTAAAAAAAAAATCTTTGTTTAAATATTGTTGTACTTTTAAACCATTCTTTAATATGAACATAACATGTATTGGGTGGGGAGGTGGGAGTGGTAGTTCTTAGGGTGGTCCAAAAAAGTCAAGCTTAATATATACAGAGGCATGTTGTTTGTTATGTTCATTTTGTTCAAAAAAGCCACTGTGCAAAATATTACATAGTTTGGACTATATTTAGAGTTTGCTCAATGCTATCAATGTTTCAAGCTATACATCAAATGAACCATATCAAAAAAAATGCAAATTGCAGGAAAAAATAAATAAACTTATTTTAAGACAAATTTAAATTTAAAAATCACTAAAAAGTTATTGATCATCAAAACATGCAAAAAACGTGACAAAACTAGAACACAATCATTCACATCATTCATTAATGTCAGAAAAGTCATTTGAGGGGGTGGAGATGACGATGGTGCGCGACAACTTGTAGTAGCACTTGTTTTGTCTCTTCGTCCATTGTCAAAGAATCATTGAAAGTGGCAATCATTGCAACTCCCCTCTCTGCCCCATCATTTAAAATTTTCAGTTTCTCAAGCTTTCTGTGCCCTTACTGAAAACTTTCATCAACATTCGATTGGTCAGGTCACTCCAAGAAGGTTTTATTTAATTCTGAAAGATTTTAAAAATCGCAAGGATGCGGAAGAAGCAAAATCACTGAGGTTCATCGTCGTATTTTTAAAACCCACTTAATTCGATCCATATTTTTCTCCTTCTTCATTTCTCTAACAATATCTTTTTTTTCATCAGTAGACTTTTCTTTCTTCAGTAGACAGTTACAAAAAAAGTGAAAAGCTAACAAGGTCACTACCTAGATACCATAGATGGCATAGGAAAGTTGTTAATGTGGCTTTCGCAATCTTCTCATTCACATTGTTGTAGCTGACCAAATCATTTAGAAGAGCCTTATCATTGACGGCCGCCTCACAAGCTTGCTGAGCCTCTATCCAGACCCTGGAGTAAATCAAGATAATGAAGAGAGACACTTCAGTTTCATTTGCTTCCAGAACAAGATTTTCATCACATAGATAGCTTTGGCCATCCACCTGGTGTGATGGTATGCACCAGGCTTCCTGATTGGAGCACATAATTCTCCCGTCAGAAAATACAATGACAGTTGACACAGTTCAGCATAACCATCACGTATACTCTTTGAGCCAAGCTAGACTGCATGGAGGTTATGGTAGCATCTTTCCAATCTTTATGCTCATTTACTCTCGGATCCTTAAAAGCACTTATTTCATCTTTTGAGATAAAGGATCATTGTTCTCAAAAGCGTTCAAACAGTTGAATATATGGTCCAGATGATGCCGGCATAACTGATTTGAAGGCTTTAGCCAAAATCAGCTCCATAATGTGATGTCTGCATGCATGATGAACCAGAAGTCGGCCTAATTTTACCTCTATTAATTGGCACCAACCAGCATGGATTCCAGTGTTGGATGATGTTGTGTCAAAGAAAAGAGCTTCGATTCTTCCTTTGAGTTTCCACTCTCAAACAATCCTGAAAGTTGCATTAGCCATGGCATCTCCAGTACTCGATGATAACTTTAGTATTGCCAGCAGTTTCTTGAATTCAATATCTGGGCTTGAAACAAGAATTGGCAAACAATCCACCTTTAAGCCATCTCCATTTCCTGTACAGTCTGGGAGCAACTTGCCATCCCAGTGTAATACTGAAAAGGTATCCTTCTGTTAAACTTCATTGATAAAGGAATCCCTAACAGTGGCTGCTGTGATGGCCCTGCTATGTATCCTAGCACGTCAAACTGAGCTCATGGAGATTGATCTGTTGCTAAGAGGTGTTGCTGCTGAGGCATTCAAAATGTGAACAGCACGTTGGTTGGAAATTTGCTACGGTCCAATGCACAAACCAACTCTGGAGTCATTTTCAATTTCTTGGAAGGAATTGATCACTTTGATCTCCGATTACAAATTTAAGGAGAGCCATGTTCAAAAAAAAGGTATGAACATGAGAACTTTTCCAGGGAAAATAGTTTTATAAAAGTAAATTATTCAATAATTTAGTTTTACAAAAGTAATTATTTAATATTTTAGTTTTTTAAAAGTAAATTATTCAACAACTTAGTTTTACAAAAGTAATTAATAACTTTTTATTATATAACATAATTACGGTTTATAATATTAAAAAATTGATACAAGTCTATGCTTAAATTGATACAATTCTTGGTTTTTGCTTTGCTTTTTTTATAAATATTTATTGCAGCAGTAACCATTTTTTATTTTAAATTATTTGACCTGCAATAAATTATGCAAACAAATTCTATGAAAATGAATAAAGAAATGTTCATTCAAAAAGTTAATTCAGTAATTAATAATTATAATATTACCAAATAAGGGTGTTTAAAATAGTATGTAATAATTATTCTAGAAGTATTCTAAGTATAGTTCTGACATCTACTGAATGAGTAAGAAATTTCTACAATATTTCTAAATTGATAATAAAACGCAACGATTAAACACAACAAAAAATACACAGTCTGCACAAAAACTCTAGTTTTGAAAACTTTTTTGGCAAAACCATAAAATATTCTAGACTTTGATATGCTTGAGCAACCCCTAAATATTTTTTTCAACCTGAAGCTTTGCACAATTAATTTTTAGACCAAAAAAAAGTAATAAGTCAACATGCCTCATTAATTTAAAAAAAAAAAAATTACATGTTAAAATGGACCACCCTAGTAGTCCTATTTATAGTATCATTATGCTTTTTTAAATATAATAACTTACAATGATATTTAATGCTGTTGTTTTAATTTGTGATATTAGACTCAGTTATTAATTATATAATATCAACGTAACTTTAAATGTATAACTAAAAAGTAGTGGTCTAAGTAAAAATGACTAACTTGTTATAGTTATGAGGAAGGAATTCATCAATGCAAACACTTAGCATAGCTGTAAGAGAAGAGTTTTTCCTTTTTTCCAAAAAGCTGTATTTTAGAGATTGGTTCTGTCTTTCAGTACCATTGTTTGTGTTGACATTTCGCAAAAGGCGATGTTGCCGAAAAGCAAACACCCATCTCTAATTAAAATGTAAAAAAAACTACTGGAATTCTCCAAAAAAGAAACTAATAACATGTAGAATAAATTCTAAGGAAGGATATTCAAAACGAATAAAATCAAAAATGATGTCATTTTTTATTAACATTTTACTAACCTTTTGGTTGCATAACCAAGTGTTTTTTAAGTACTCTCGAAGTTTTGGGTGATTTTTCCACTCTTCTGACTCTTTGAAAGCATTTACAGCATTTATGCAAATCTCTTCTGTTTTTGAATTAGCAATTTGACGAAGTTTTAACTTAACTACTTCTTTTACTGAGGAACATCCGTTAGTGATTTTTGACAACCATCTTTCCCAAGCCTGTTCTCTGTGAAAGTCACAAATTAAGACATTTGATCCTAAATAAAGCGATATGGCAAATCTCAATTTAAAAATAAATAATACAATACTTTAAATAAAAAAGCAAAAACAGTTCATGCAACCGCATATTCTAAAAATTCTTACCTGGAAACACATACTCTAATGAGTTTATCTCTTCATTGGAATAATCAGTTAAAACAAATTTAGGTTGAAACAAAGGATTCCATTTTTTAATGCACATCAGTGCCTCTGTGATAGCTTCTGTTGTTTCATTCTCGCATACAAAAATCGCGACAACTTGATAATCAGTGTTTGTCTTGACAACTAGAAAAAACAAGGGAAGAGCATATCTTGTTGTGCGATATGTAGCATCAAGGAAAATAAGCTCATTTCCATATCGCAAAAGCAGTCTCCTTTGCCACTTATCTTGGAATACAAACAACAATGAATCCTTAAGCTGTGGATCATTGTCTTCCAGAATACTGATACCTTTTGGTCTAAATTTTATCATGGCTTCTTTGGAGATGATTCTCCATTCATTAATTTTATCAAGCAAACATTCTTGATCGATCAAAGACCTCCGAAGTTTTCTTCTTGCATTTATCATATGGTTTCGAATGGTCTTATCCAATGGAAAGTAACGCTTGTTTTCTTTGTGAGGAACATTATTTAAAGTAAATTGAGCTTGAACAAAAAAATCAAGATGCCGCCTCATCTCCGGAACAGAGTTGACACCCTTTTTTACTAATTCTCCAATTTTTATAATCAGATCCTCAGAAATAGGTTGACAGAGACCTGCTGCCTAATAGTAAATGTATTGAACAGTCATAAGCAAAGTGAAAGCAAAATGCAAAAAAATAATAACAATAAAATAATTAGAAAAAAGATAAAAAGTAAAGGCAACAAAAAAATGTTACTGACATCTCCTGTAGCATGGTTTTTATGAGCAGAAATATCTGGCAAAACTAAAATATATTTTCTACGCATAACTAAATTTCTTTTCTCCAACATGGCTAGACGAAGTTTTTTTGAAGTTTCTTTTCTTAACCATGATGAATCTCTTATTAGCTATAAAAATAAAAATTATACGTAAAAAGGTATTTATATGCAAAAATTATATACTGTTGTTTAGTTACAAGTTATTCCATACACATATATTACACATGTTTATCCTGTACTAGATTTCCTGTACTAGTATTTATATGCAAAAATTATATACTGTTGTTTAGTTACAAGTTATTCCATACACATATATTACATATGTTTATCCTGTACTAGATTTCTTGGGTGATTTAAAATATTTTAGGTAAATAATTTTATATAGCTATATAATAAAGTATTTTACTTGTGATATAATTGTAATGATAATATAATATATTATCATCAGAGCTATATCACAAGTAAAATTAATCATAAATATGATTCTGATAATATAATTTTAAACAGGATTTTTTTAAATATTTCTTATGAATAAATAGCAGCAAAATACCTCAAACTCCGGAAATTCGACTATTTCTTTTATATAAACCATCGCTGGACAATCAAACTTTTTGGTATCCTGAAGAATAACTTTGTTGTTTTGGCAACAATGGTCGGTAACCTGTACATTAAAAATGAATAAAAATCCTACAGTATTTGAAATTTATAATTTTAAAATTCAATAAAATCTGTTTTAAATTTACAAACTTGTTTAAAAATAAAATCATTGCCTCTAACAAATAAAATAATATAAACTTTCAAACAATATATTCAAACAATATATTCAAACATAATAAATATAAAAATTTCAAACATAAAATGGAAATAAAGTTAACTAAAATTTTTTAAAAATGAACTGTGTAACATACTGCTTCATCATTTTTCTTTTTTCTGTACTGAGCTTTTGCTCTAATGTTTCTGTCCATTCCTTGTTGACAGTCAAGAGAAGTATGTCCTGAAAAAATGAATGGCACACCAGTGTAGAAAAAGTCTTTGTCTTCAAAAAAAACTTTGTGATCTTTCTTTAACAGTTCTAAATTTAAAAATTGGAAAATACACAGCTGGTATGAAGTAAAAAATTAACAAATTTTGAGTAATAGTTGTCACAATTTTTTCAAAAAATATTATAGATTAGATTAAATTGTTGATTTATTGTAAAAGTAAAATTTATTTAACTAATTTTAAATATCAACCTTCAAAGTTTTTTTCCATCTTTCCTGTGCGAGCAATGACATAATGTACTGTGTGCAACATTTCATGCTCTTTAACTTTAGCACAAACATCTGCATATGTCCAAAAAATGTGTTTTTCAACAGTTACAGGTGATTTGGGTGACATAGCTGTGCCTGCAAATAATGTTTAAGAAAACACTTTAAATAATAAGATAACAACAATAATAAAACTCATATATTTTAAATATTAGATACTACAGTTAAAATTTACCATCATCTTTCACCATTTTAAAGTATTTTCGAGGCTTTCCTAAACATGTTTCTGGAAATTAACTTAGCAAAATGGGATGTGTACTAACAAATATCATGTTATTGCTAATGTTGCTGTGTTTAGTGTTGATAGAGCTCGACTGATATATAGGTATTGCCTTTTTATTATTCTGTATTTTTATTTATACTATTATTGTTTTAATTCTATTAACAATCAAGTGTAAAATAACACTTTTGTAAATGAAAATTGTAAATTTATTTCTGCTTCTTTTATTTGGTATTAGCAGACTTTACTAGGTTTTCCTATTCTGGTGCCTAACTGATTTCAAAAAGATGTTATCTTTTTATGTTTTAAACTAAAAGTCAGAATGGGAGCAGAACGAAAAAGAATGTTTACATGTAAATTTGTATTTAATTATACTTTTCATATATAAAATTGTATTGTTATTTATTACTAATAACTAATAACTTGTATAACGGGTGCTTACTGCTGTTATCTTATACAATTTAGTAATATATATGACATAATATATAATTATGGAACAATTTTGTTAATGAGTTAAAAAGTGGGATTATTTGTTAAACATTGTTAATTTCTTTAAATAAAAAATTATGAATATTTATTGCTTAGAAGAAAAACTAAAGTTGTAAGCTAGTATTTATGATTAGTATGCAACACTCATTCTTAGTGAACTATTTTTGTATTTGAAATCAAAATACTTTTACCTTTTTGGATATTCTAGTATTTGAAAAACTTTTAGTAAAAGTGTAAAGATTAGAAAAGGTAAGAATAACTATCAAAAATAAAATCTTACCCACTGAATGTGCTAAATCAAGAGAAAAAATACTTTTATTCATTATACAATTTAGAATAACTAAACAAATTTAAAAGCTTCAAATATCTTTCAATAAAGAAAACCTCGTGGTTAGCGATATTTAATAACATCTAAAAGTAGGCTATAAAAACGCATGCGCAAATTTTATTTTGGTCTGGATTTTTATTAAAATCGGCAACCTACTTTTGAATGTCATTAAAAATCCTCAACCTATTTTGAAACCCTATACAGGCTCAGAATAGGCAGAGATATGCGCAATCTGATTCGCCAATTTTTAAAGAGAGGCTTTTGCGCGTAAGTTTAAATCAAAACAAATGTCAAAAAACGTTGTCAAGACAAACGTCAGAAAACGTATTGAATATTAAAAGTGAAATAGTAATTGCCAAATAAAAATGACAAAAAAAAAAAAAAAAAAGATTTTTTTATCCAATTTTGAACAATATAGTGTATTTATTTTTTTAAAAATAAAGATATAAAAAAAATTAGTTTGTTTTCTTTATTTTTTTATAACTCTAAAATATAAAAATAACAACGATTGTAACAAACTATATACCAGATGGTAAAACTTTACTATGCTGTGATTCCTCTACAATTTTTTTAAAACAGTTTTAAAATTTTACCAAGTAATATCAATAAAATATTATTAACTTGGTATAAGTTTTTTCAAATTAAGTTCCCATTAATCCTATTATTTAGCAAGAAAAATAAAAATAAAAAAAGTATTTTCAAAAAATACTTTTTTTTTTTTTTTCAGAATTTTTACACTTATTACTCCCATTTATAAACTGTATACACCACTAAAACATTTTAAGTTTGAGAATATTGCTTATTGGTTGCTGTAGCTAGCCCAGATAATTTACATCACTCTCAAATTAATAGCAATTGTAAACAAGAGCTGATTTAGATTGGCTTTGGTAATGTATAGTAATGAAAGATAAGAAAAGACAAAACATTGTAGCATAATAAGCTATAAGAAATAATTTATAACCTGATGTCCACAAGTGTGTTTTGATATAGTAAACTGATTACAAAAATGAACAACTCTTAACTTAACACACCTTTATGCTGAGCTAAGTGTAAAAAGGTAAAAGCAAAAAAAATTGCAAAAATACAAGTTCATGTTGTTGTTTATTTCAATTTTAAAAGATATATAAAGCACATGTTTGTCGATATATAGCTTTTAACCAGAACAAAATATTGATTATTGTATTCTATAATTGGTAAAAAACAATTACTCTTTAATAGCAACTGATGGTAAATAAAATTGAATAAAGCAAAAAAGTTTGATAAATTTTTTTATTTATTATGCTATTAATTTATTTTACATTACATACTTCTGAAGAAAAAAAATATCTTCTCTAAAAAAATGAAAAAAAAAAACACTTTTTTTTCATTTTTCTTGGCAGAAATATTTATCTTTCAAGTTTCCAAATTTTATTAATTGTTTTATTTTGTAATCTTTGGAATAACCAATAAAATCAAGTGTGCTTTTTTTTTGAATTTCTGTGAATACCTCTTGTATAATAATTTAAAAATAGAGATGTGTTATGTTTTATCTTGAAGTAATATATATATATTTTTTTCTTCTGAAAACTTGCTTCTTCAAATGTAAAACCTTGTTTTAATCAAGTTCTTTTTATTACAATAATTGCCATAATTCACCTTAATTTGGTTAAATTGCTTAACTTCTCTTTGTTAGCTTGTATTATCAACGCTTGATGTTTTATTAAAGTTAAGTAAAGAAAAATATTGATGTATGTCTTATCAGCCTTCTCAATATTTAGCTTAAATAGTAACTTCTTCAGAGTTCGTAGATTTACATGGAACATGTAAGCTAGTTTGGTAAAATATCAGTAAATAAATCTAAATGTTTAACTATTTATAATTAACAAGACAGTGTAAAGATGAAGTAACGAGCATAAAACAACCTCTGCCTCAGCTGAAAATTTATACTTTGCATACTTTAAGTACATTACCATTAGTCTCGTACAACTGTATATAAACTTTGTATTGACCATGCTTTATAGAACATAGACATTACATTTGACGAAAAACACACTTAGAAATCTTGCAATATTGCACACATGCAAATTCAAGTTAAATATTTCAAGAGTTTATACATGCAAAACACATTTTATTATAACAAAAATAATCATAGCATGGCAACTGATTTTGTTCTTTTTTTTATTTGGTTAACATATTTGACTTCAATACTTTTTCTTGCTTTTAATTTTATTGTTTATATGTAACTTCGCAAAAAATTACTGTTCAGTAGATCAACATATAAATTTCACTTCTGTTGTTAAATTTTCAAATAACATTTTATACAAACAGTTATTATTGCCTGCCAAAATTTTTTTAAATTTTTAAAAAATGTTTTATGGTTTAAGATGATGTTTTATTAGAGTTATGCAATAAAAAGTAAATCAGTCTCCTACAAACAATAGTTGAAACAAAACATGAAAACAAAATCTCCTCAAAGCTCATATATTGACATGGAACATGTAAGCTAGTTTTGCAATCAGTACAAATTTTCTTTATTTTAAAACTTTAATATTCAACTATTTTTAATTAACGTATAAATCAATTTATAAATAAATTTTTTCATCAGTAGTCTGGTAAAACTGCATATAATCTTCATATGCAAATGTACTTCACAAGTAGTCTTGTACAACTGTATATAAACTTTGTATTTAAGTATGCTTTAAGGCCAAGAACATATTTTCCTCCATCACCAAAATAAACTTTATTGAAACATGGAGATTTTTACGAGTGAAAATTCTCTGTTATAAATAGATTTTGATACCTTTTAAATATTCTAAAGAATAATAAAATAAAATCTCTATGGCGATGGTTACACAAGACCTGTATTGATAAACTTAACTTAGTTTATCATTACTATGAAATATTTAAAAAATATTTTTAAATAAAGCACACTTGCCTCTCTTTCAAAATCAGCGAATCAGATTGCTCATATTTCTGCCTGTATAGGGTTTCAAAATATGCGATCCGGCACTGTTTTATGTCCCATTTTAAATACGTTAAATCGTTTGTAGCATATTTTAAAAATTCTTACTTTTTTATTTTTGTTATAATCTTACAAAACTTAATTATTATACAGAATAAAACTTTTTCACTTAAAAATATTTCGTTTCTTTCTATTGATTTCCATTCTACAAAATAACCAAATTGGCGCTTTTGTAAATTGCTGAATTTACCGAAAATAGGGGGGAAGGGGTGCGTCGTGTACAAGTCCGCCAAAGTTCCTTCAGATGTAACTACATCAGAAAACCCATATAAAAACTATGTATGTGTGATTAAAATAATGCATTTATATTTAATATAATTTTCCGGATGTAACTACATTTGAACAAAACCATTAAATGTTTTTGAGATTGACAAAAATTCGCCGACCTCGCTTCTATGTTTTATGGTAACACTTTTATGTCAAATTTTTTTTTGATGCCGACAGTTTGAGTCAGCAATTTATTGCCGACCTCAGTTTTTCTAATTCCGAGGGTTACCTAACATAATTAAAAAGATTACAAAGATTAAATTAATTAAAAAATAAACTGTTAGTTCTACATCTGTAGAACTCACAGTTGAACAAATGTAGTTATATATATATATATATATATATATATAAATATATATATAAATATATATATATATATATATATATATATATATATATATATATATATATATATATATATATATATATATATATATATATATATATATATATATATATATATATATATATATATATATATATATATATATATATATATATATTAACAATAGGCTAAAAGAATTTCATTGGAATTATGTTTTAGGTTTGCATATTATAGTTTTCCTTTTATAAATTGTAACATGTAATTTAATAATATTTTACCTTACGTAATATTTCTTTTTACTTTTCGTACCTTCATAAATCAAAAAGTTAAATATTATTATTATTTTTTAATTAAATTTTTTAGCAATTTTATATATCGTAAGAAAATATACTTAAAAGGAAAAAAATAATTTTAGAGTTAAATACTTTCGATTCTGCATATACTGAAATTCAATCATTAATTAGACACTCATACTTATAGTGTTTTAGAATTTATTTTTAGTTATAGCATTTGCTTATCAGTTAAAACTCGTACTTTAAAATTTTGGAAAAAAACATGTTTCAGAATGATAAAGGTATAAACATTCAAATGCACCATGCAGATTGGCCTTATATACCCAAAGAGATTGGATGTAGATCTACAGTTTAAATTTTTAAACTGTATGTTATGTCTAGATTTTTGTTTTGAAATTAAATTAGCAGCAAGTTGAGATCTGAAAGGAAGCAAAAACAACAAAAACAGAAGATTGATTGATTGTAAGGAAAGTGATGAAGAATCGTAGAATACCAACTAGTCAGATAAAATTCAAACCTTGAAAAATACTAGTACGACTGTTACTTTTCTCAACAGGATTTTTCTTGTTTATAAAAGCTTTTTTATTTTTCACTGAAATGAAAAATAAAAATGCTTTCATAAACAAGAAAAATTGATTGTGTGAGTGGTGTGACAGTGTGAGCATAGTTGATTGTCAGGGAAGTGTTAGGGAGAGGCAAAAATTTCTGAAATTACTTCAAAAAAAAAAAATAATAATAATTATTTTTTATTATTATTTATGATTCTTATTATTAATAATAGACATTTATAAATCAGCTTTAATTTAGTTATCTTTAATTAAACTTAAATAAAATAATTTGTTAGTTATTATTAGTGTTAATTATAAAATTTGATAAAAGTTTACCTAATTTAAGAATATAATAAATTACATTCACTGCTGCTATGACTATATAAGATTACCCTAGTACATTTACAATGAATATTTTTAATTGGCTAAAGAGAAAAAGGTATGCAGAATCAGAATCATAACCACGAGGGTTATTTCCATGTACCTGTGAAAAAAAAGTAATGAAGGGGATATTCGTTTTGGAGCTATTTTATTACAACAGGAATCACTATCACAATTCCATTGATTTTATACAACGTGAAGATCATAATGTAAACAATACAGATAATAAATAAATTAGCAAAAAATTTCATAATCAATGCTAT